AAAAAAAAAAAAAAAAAGAATGTCGATAGTGTAATTGCTCTAACCAGAGTTATTTTCAGCCCATAGATTCGTGACAGTATCTTCAATAAAGGAAAGGACAGGGCACCAATCCTTCAACAGTAAAATGAAAAAGCAACTGGTTATCAGAAGAGATTCTTGAAAAGCACATCAAAATAGCAGTATTAGATGAACACAAGCAGTATCAATGAAACCATAAAAGGGAATTAAATGCTACACATCAGTTCTAGCAATTGGATTGCGCATCTAACATGGAAGAAAAATGAACAAGTGACATGTTCTAAGACTAAGATAGACAAACAAAACCACACGCCCCCTCCTCTTTTTCTTGTGGTGATAAGTCAAGCCACTCCTCTCTTAACCTACATGGTACATAAACTCATGAAGTAGATTGATGCAGCAAATTCTTTATCCTTTTTTTTTTGAAGCATGGTAAGGTTGTATAAATGGAGTACAAAGACTGTGCCAAAATTACAAGCGATGCAGACCCTTTACAATTACTCTAGGAAGCCGAAGAAATCTATCATCCTATCCAAATTATTAACATTTTCTGGTTTACACCAAAAAGCTAAAAAGGAAATACATCTATGTAAATCAAACTGCCAAATCCATTTAAAGGGATGTGTAAATGAATGGGTAAGCAAAAACCGGGAGAATCATAGTCACAGACACAGCAAACAACCTGTACTAAGAAATACAAAATTCCTATCAAAAACAAATTTGTATGACATCGTTGTTAACACTGACCTGTTTGGTTTTGCAACCAAAGAAGTTTAGAAGCATGGTTTTGCACTGTTCTCCCATAAAAATAAGGAGATTATTCTATTCTCCAGAAACAGCCATGATGCCAGGGCCTTGCCTGTAGGGGGGGTCCTTTTCTTACACTTTTAATAGCAAATAATGGTGTTTATTCAGTATAAACCTATTAATGTCACCCATATTAAAGTCACGAAAAATGATAAGGTGTTTAGTGATATTTTTAACAAAAACAACCCCAACCAATCCTGAAAAACAAACCCAAAAACCTGAACCCAATTCCATAAAGAATACATCCAAAGACTCACAATGATTTCAAAACCCCGAAGCAAAATAAAACCATAAACGCCAACGAACAATCTCACCTTAAATTCCACAGAGGTCTTTGATGGCTCCAAAGTTAAATCATAAGAAGATCTTGGGCAGTTTAGGTTCAACAAAAACAGTGGATATATCTGGGAGCTACTTCGCCGCTCAATGTCAGAAGCGCTGTCAAAGCTCATTGCTAAGTTATTGAGTAGTTTATGTATTGGTCCCTTGGAAACAAATCTTAAATTGATGTCTGCGTTAGTGAAGTTCAAGGAACACAAATTCACCGTAAAAAACAAGCATCCAATATGGTAATTGTCAACCAAAGATTATTTTTTTTCTTTGGTCAGGAGAATGTACTGAAATAAGTGGATACAGAAATATTGAAGGACCTGCAAATTAAGCAGTGGTAGTTAGGGGAAAAAGTGTAGAAAATATAACTTATCACACCTCTTATCCATCAATTTGGCGGGACCTATATACCTTCATTGGGTAAACATCAGGACCTGAGATGTATCCGGAGAGCTTGAATGAACCATCACTTGCATTCAGTTTGTTTAGGGAGCTCAAATCCTGAATCGCAAACCCACCGGACAACAGCGGCAATGGAGAAGGAGAAGCACGCGTGCAAAGCAGGTCATCCTCACTGCATTCAAATGGGGGGAAAACTAAGAAAACAGACAGGAAATACCCTTTAGCAAGTGTAACAAAGAAATACCTTTCAATATCAACAATTCTGAAGGAGACACTGGGATGCACAAAGGCAATTCTTAGCAGACACTCTTTCACGGAATGCAAGATCCTCTTTGGGCTTCAAGAATATATATGCAAACCAAAACCAATCAGGTCTGAGAACAGCTCTAGAAATACAGTATGTAAATCAACAACAGTGTTTTGTCTGAATTGCAAGAAACTAGAAGTACTTGGAGAGCATTTGCTTCCTTCGAACTGGTTGGTTGTAAAATAAATCACGAACAATGACTGCAAAAAGATAAATGCCAAGAAATCTCCTAATTAGTAAACAGCAGTCAACACTTGTATCAGGTAAGCTTATACACAATTACCCGTTGTACCAACATCTTGTCTATCATCATCAATTCCAAGATACAAACACTTGCCGTCCTGTAAATAATGTTAAGGAAAAAGATCAAGTTAGTAGTTTTATACCTACCTTGATGGATAATACCAGCTAAAACTCAAAAGATCTTTACCTTCAAAACCTTACGATATCCATTTGGCTTTCCGTGAGTTTTAGTAACAATTTCCAACAAAGAAACATCAGAAATAGAGCTCAGAGCCTCTCCTTTAAAGCCAAAGCTTGCTGGGAAAGCATGCACATCATCCAAGTGTCTGTATTTTGATGTCACTGGTATAAAGCAAGCATTCAAAGCATGTTAGAATGGGCAGACAAAATGGAAGCTTAACAGAAGATGAAAGAAACAGGCACATATACTTCTACATAAGCTGGGCTAAAAGTTCCTCACCAATATGTATGTTCCAGCTCAACTTCAGCTAATATAATAATCAAAACATCTATATACAGTGGAACACCAAAAGCATATTCCAAAAGCGACCGACTTCATTAACTCTACAAGGAAGACCCAGCTGACATGATCATAAGCCTTTTCCAAGTCCAGCTTAGATATAACCCCAGCTTCATTCTTACTCATTCTAGAAAGTATAAACACTCATCAACTAACAATACTGCATGCTAAATTTTTCTGCCATTAACAAAAGCCTTTTGTGTCTCTGAGATCAAATTGCCAATTATTGTCTCTAATAATTCAGTTAGTACCTCGCCAGTAATTTAGCACCTAACTCCTTTCTTTTCAGGAATTAATGCTATGAAGGTTGCACAACAACTCTAATGAAACACTCTCTGTCTCGTGAAAGTGCTGCAATGCCTTCTTTACATCATCCTTCAAGATAGCCCAACATCTCTGATTGCCATAGTATAGCCATCTTGTCCAGAGGCATTGCCCTACACTATTCTTAATTACCAGGTCAACTCCTCATCAGAGAAAAGATCTCTACAGCCATTCCTTCTCTTCCTCTGATATCACCTTGAGTTCTCTACATATCCATTCGATTCTTCGGGTCTCAGTTTCTTAGAGTAGAGTTTCATAGACTCAAAGTCTCTTTTCAGCCTCATCAAAGTTTCATAGATATAGCATCATAATACCTGCTCATCTCAAAAGCAGTATATCCATAGATTACTCAAATGAAAATGATTAAAAATATCTGTCAGGTTGCTCAAATCAAAATGATTAAAAATATCTGTCAGGTTGCTCAAATCATGTGCCACAGAATTGTCATTGTTAAATATGGCAAGAATTGATACTATGTAAATATGAAAAGATACACAAATCCCTGTAATCACACAGATCCCTGTAATTAAGTAATTAGGAGATTTTGTAGGCTTGTAATTGTAGTCTTTCCTTATTTGTATTCCTGTCAAAGGTTATTTAAACCCAACAGCTTGAGGGAATAATCAAGCACTTTATTCACCATCTTTCTTCACTTCTTCTTTCTCATGGTATCAGAGCTAGGATTTTTTAGTCCCTGCTCCATCTTATTTTTCTTCCTTGAATTAAAAGACTATAGAAGAACCAGATCCTCCTTGGTCGACTCTTCAGTTTTCTCTATTTCTTCCTATTTCTCTTGTTTTTGTAGTTACTCTCATCCACTACTTTCAGCAGTTCGTGTGTACAACAATGGGAGATGATAAAGCAGTTGAAAATCAAATTACTGGAAAGTCGATTTTTTCCTCTTCACCATCTCCAACAATTACTACTGTTAAGTTGGATGGTAGTGGAAATTATACCTCTTGGGCAGCTTCTGTACAACTGTGGTTTATAGGTCAAGGATATGAAGATCACTTGATCAAGAATTATACAGAGATTGGAGCATCTGATAGACCAACTTGGGTTAAAATAGATGCTCAATTATGCAGTCTTCTATGGAACTCTCTTGACAGTAAGTTACTTAATCTTTTTCAGTCATGTAAGACATGTTGCAGGGTTTGGAACAAGGCCAAAACCTTGTATACAAATGACATACAACTTATTTACAAGGTAGTTTCAGACATTGTCCACCTGCAATAGAATCAACAAGACATGGCAAGCTCTCTTGGTCAGGTAGAATCCTTAAAGGATCAATTTGATTCTCTTATGCCTTTTACTGACAAGTTGGATGATCAGGAGAGACACAGAGACAGATTTTTTATGGTTCTAGCCTTGATTGGATTAAGATCTGATCTCTCCTCAGTTCGAGACCAGATTCTTGCTAGCGCATCTGTTCCTACCTTGGAGGAAGTGTCTGCCAGATTGTTGCACATCACATCTACACCGGAGGTAAACTCATATGATACTTCTATAATGGCTGTACAAACTAACACTTTTCAAAATGGACCCAGAAAAGGAAAAGGGAAAAGCACTAAACATTGCACATACTGTGATAAGGGAGGACATACACGTGATGTTTGTTGGTCGCTTCATGGTAAGCCTCCACGTCACAATGATCGTCCTCGACATGCAATCAATGTGGCTCACATCGGAGATGGTATTCTACCTACACCAGATGTCAAGGATAGATCATCTCACTCTATCACTTTGAATGGAGCAGATTATAATGATTATCTTCAGTACCAGGCATCAAAGCAACAGTCATCTACCTCATCTACAGCTTGCACAGTGCAACCTGGCAACTCTTTTGCCTATGTCGCACAGTCTTCCTTTCCTGGACCATGGATTCTTGACTCTGGTGCTACTGATCATATATCTGGTAACAAAAATTTTCTTTCTATCCTTAATTCTCCATCTGTATTTTCTACTATTACCTTAGCTAATGGATCAAAGACTGCTATCAAAGGAATAGGTACAGCTCACCCTCTATCTTCTTTACCTTTAACTTCAGTTCTTTTTGCACCTGAATGTCCGCATAATCTTATTTCCATTAGTAAATTAACCAAGAACCTCAAGTGACTTGTAATCTTCTCTGAGGATTCTGTTTTTGTGCAGGACCGGAGTACGGGACAGGTGATTGGAAGAGGACATGAGTCACACGGTCTGTACAAACTATCCATTCCAAAACCACCAGTTGCCTTCACTTCCGCTATTTCCTCTGATTTGCTTCATAGTCAATTGGGACATCCAAGTCTTTCAAAGCAGCAGAAGATGGTCCCCATTCTATCTACTTTGTCTTTGTTAGAATGTGAGTCATGTCAGCTTGGGAAACACACTCGTGCTTCTTTCCCAAAGCGTGTCAATAATAGGTCTTCCTCTATGTTTGAAGTTGTTCGCTCAGACATATGGGGTCCAAGTCGTGTCAGTTCTTCACTAGGATTTCATTATTTTGTTACATTTATTGATGATTATTCTCGGTGCACTTGGTTATTTTTAATGAAAAACACATCTGAATTGTTCTCTATTTTTCAGAACTTTTGTACTGAGATTCGCAATCAATTTGGTGTTTCCATAAAGAAATTAATCAGTAATAATGCCCGAGAATACTTCTCTTCTTCTCTTTCTTCCTTCATGTCATCACAAGGTATATTACACGTGTCTTCTTGTGCACATACTCCACAACAAAATGGAGTTGCAGAACGAAAGAACAGACATCTCATTGAAACAGCTCGGACATTACTTATTCACAATCATAATCCTTTACGTTTTTGGGGCGATGCAGTTATTACTGCTTGTTATTTAATTAATCGTATGCCCTCCTCTATTTTGCAGTACAAGAATCCACACTCGGTCCTTTATCCAGAACAACCTATGTTCCCACTTCCTCCACGTGTTTGGTTGTACTTCGGGAAAAGACAAACTTCAGCAAAAGGCTATCAAATGTGTCTTTTTAGGGTACTCTCGTCTACAAAAAGGATACAAATGCTTTGATCCCTCTAAAAATAGGTACTTAATCTCAGCAGATGTTACCTTTTTTGAGACTTCCCCATATTTTTCTCCTAATTCATTAAATCAGAAGGCCATATCCACAGTTCTTTCGGTTCCAACCTTTTCGCCTCCAACTCCAGCTACAGCTCCACCACTCCAAGTGTATTCTAGACGCCCTCGACCTAATTCTCAACCCACTAATCCAGTTGATGCTTCTGATCCTAATGCAGGTACACAAAGCCCACCAGGTGACTCATTGCCTTCTCCAGCAATGTCTCATGCTTTGGTTGAGCACTCATCAGATGTCACTGATCTCCCCATTGCTCTTCGAAAAGGTACTAGAATTACTGCCAATCAAACTCCCACTTATACCTTTTTAAGTTATCATCGTTTATCACCTTCATATCATGCCTTTATTACTAGCTTATCCACTGTCAAGGTTCCAAAGACGGTAGAAGAAGCAATGGCCCATCAGATTGGGCAGGTTCTCCCTCTGATAGACGGTCCACTTCAGGTTATTGTATTTTAATTGGAGGCAACCTAATATCCTGGAAAAGTAAAAAGCAAGATGTGGTGGCTAGGTCAAGTGCAGAGGCAGAATATCGGGCTATGGCATTGGCTACTTGCGAGCTTATATGGCTAAGGCAACTTCTACAAGAGTTAAAGATTGGAGGGGATGAACCAATGAAATTGATTTGTGATAATCAAGCCGCATTACATATCGCTTCAAATCCAGTATTTCATGAAAGAACGAAGCATATTGAAGTAGATTGTCACTTCATTCGACAAAAGATTGAGTCTGGGTGTATTGTTACGAGTTTTGTCAACTCAAAAGACCAACTAGCAGATGTCCTCACAAAATCACTCCGAGGATCCAGAATTGGCGATATATGTAGCAAGCTAGGAGCATATGACTTGTACGCTCCAGCTTGAGGGGGAGTGTTAAATATGGCAAGAATTGATACTATGTAAATATGAAAAGATACATAAATCCCTGTAATCACACAGATCCCTGTGATTAAGTAATTAGGAGATTTTGTAGGCTTGTAATTGTAGTCTTCCCTTATTTGTATTCCTATCAAAGGTTATTTAAACCTAACAGCTTGAGGGAATAATCAAGCACTTTATTCACCATCTTTCTTCTCTTCTTCTTTCTCAGTCATTAAAACAGCCATAAACTTGTGAGTTGGAGCAGGAGAAAAAGGGGAAGGAGACAAGACAGTTTTTTTTTGTTCAGCCTTTACTCTTTGTTCACGAAAAGAAAAAGAATTTGGAGAAGTGAAGGGAAAGAATTCAAAGGAGGGATTCCAAGCTTTGATACCATGTGAAGGATGTGAACTGTGACAAACGAAGATATATGTGGAATGTCTTGCATGGTTATTCCTTCAAACATGTCGGAATTTAAAATAGAGTTTACAAGTAATCTCAAAAAAGAAAAGAAAATAAATTCCTACTCCTTATTACACAACTAATTCTAAATCTTTTCCATATTTACAAGGAACAGATTCTTGCCATAATTACAATTTCTTAATATTAACATTCACAACAGATAGAAAAACTAGGATCCTAACCCAATTGTAACTAGAAAAAATGATAAAAATATGAATCTACCAGATGTAGGCATCAACTGCATTTGTCATTACAGCAAATTGACAATCAGTCCACCATGCAAACTCAAGATCATGATGATACCACCAAAAGTTTAGTTTCTATTTTATTTCAAGAACATTTGAAATCAAATTTGCCCGATTACAAGTAAAACCACTAAAAACATCTGCAAAAAGAAGCTAGTGAACACACAAACTGACACACATCCTATCAGCAGAGGAACCATGCATGTGCCCCTCTTCAAGTTGTCAAGCAGAAAAAATTACATACAGCAGCATCAATACCATAGAAAAGATTATGTCAGTCCAACATTTTGCAAAAATATTACCATATCTTTCTCCTATCAGCACCAGTCCATCTCGTGAAACACCAGATCCTTCAAAAGAAAGTACAATTTCAGGTGATGTAGTAAAATAATAAATTGAGCAGAACTTTTCTGCAGATCAAAATGCATTACATCAATCAACAAAACTAGTACCTACCGTTGTCATCCACCTTAACATAGCAGGTCCCAACACTAAGAGCAACATATACCTGGTAGAAACTGGGTTTAAGATCAATCTTGGAGCGCTATTTATAAGAATAACAAGCAAAAAAGAACAGTCCTATGAGGAAATAAATCTCATGAAAAAAAAAAGACTTGTGATATCAGGCATGGAACACCAACCATACTAACAGGAGAATAAACGTATCATTTTTCATAGAAAAAGGATCATCTCATTAGTGGGAAACTTTCAAGTCTCCATCAAATTGTTAGACCATAAAGCATATGTCATGTCATCTGAAGTAACAAACAAAGGAAAGTAAAATTCATTGAATTAATGAAGTGCCTCACCCTCACACAAATTCGCAGGTGCAATTAGTCTACTCAATTAAAATTGGATAAAAGCACAACTTGCTAGCGTTAGTTCACTTAACTATTATATTCTCAACAGCCCACCTCTAATAATCCTAAAAACATTAATAAACTCAAAAAAAAGAAAAACCATATATTTCCCCCATTCTCTTATAAGGCATAAATTTCCACATTTAAGAATCAACAAACCTCTGAAAATCTAAACGCCCTAAAGGAGAAGGACAGGTGAGGGCATTTATGAAAATCTGGCCAATCGAGCGTCTTCATTCATAATACTACAAATAGCTATTTTTTTATAATTATAAAACTACTTAGTTTTCTTGAAAAAGTGGTGTGAGTGCCTGAGTGGGACCTTTAAGAACAACTCCACAACTTTCCATTCAATGCCTTGCAAAATTCATATGGAGTATTGAAACATTGAAAGGGTAAATGGGCGTACCTTGGTAGCACCAGCATCAAGGCTGTTGAAAACCAACTCCTCAACAACCCTTGTGAAATCATACAATATAACCCCTGATCGAATCGAACTCCGAATGCCCTCAGGCAATCGCTTAATGCTTCCCATCTCCCTAAAGAAAATAAAAATATATTCTTGAATATCCTTTACATACGCTGTGAGAACGCCAACCAATATTTAAAAAAAAAAAAAAGATTTCTTGAATTCCCTTAGAATGTCCATGCAGCAATGCAAATATACTCGTAAAAACCTACAATTTCTATAATTTTCTTAAAGTATTCAAGAATGTCCATATAATTTTTAAAAACCAACGAGCTTTGGAACTTTAAAATGCAAGCAAAATGCCAAGATAATGGGAAGTACAGTATAATTACTTGAGAAGAGAAAATGGCGGGAAAATTGAATCAGGGTTTAGGGTTTTGATCGGACATCGTCACTGGAACAGTTAAGAGAAGCAACTCAGTGAAATATGCTATGCTGCGCCGGTTGCGTACCAAGTTCGGGTTTTTCAGTTGAGCGGTCTTAATAATTTGAAATCAAGGGGAAGATAGGTGGTTGGTTACGGTATATGATGGTGGTGAAGGGCGCAAATTTCTAAAATGCGCTGGTGGTATCTCGATGACGTGTCCGTGTTAACAGTATATTTATATTGCCTAATCCCTTTTAACAGTGAAAAGCATTTACATACCACAACTTTGCTTTAAAATCAAATTTTCCCCTCAACTTCGAATAATTATAACTATCCCCTTTTTATCCTATACAATATTTATTTTACCCTTGTCATTGAGAGTGTACTCTCACTTTAATTTTTATTATTCTACCATGGCCTCAATGATTTTATTTAGTGCAATTTGCAAATATTGACGGATACGAATTACGATAACTACTGGATGTACTTTATAATATGTATTGATTAGTAATCTGAAATCGTCAACAGTCTTATACTGATAGGATTAAAAAAAATTATCAATACCTTAGATCATTCACTAGCTCTTTATGTCTCTAACCTCAATATAACTTTCCAAAACATTTAAGATTACTCTACTTCTATGAAATATTTGAAGCTTACAAATAAAATGTTTTATTTTAAAACTTTTACATGACGCTTTTTTAAATAACCTTCAATCATTACTTATAACTAATGGCAGCAAAATGGATAAAAAGAATAATTATCCGTCCATATTATTCACTAAAAATGGGTTGGATAATAATTTTCTTTAAAATGGGTCAAATATAAATAGGGGTATTATCACTTTTAGCCCGCGCCAGAAACTATTTACATCTGGTAGCCGAAAAAATGTATAAAATTTGTATAATTTTTCTATATAACATACAGAATGTATATATATATATACAAAAAATATACAAATTTTATACATTCTTTCGGCTATTATTTTTACAGCGACTATACAGTGTCATTTTTTCATATGAATATTATCTACTTAAAAAATGGATAACCAATGGGTTTAAGTTTTACATTTGCAGAAACTCAAATTGGGAGTTTCTTAAGTTAGAGAGACTAGGAATTCTCCCAAAAGTGATCATATTCAAGAAACCATAGATAATATAATATGCATATTATCCGCTGGTTAACCCATTTTCTATCTATATCCAACATGGATCGGCCCAGATAATTTATTAATTTGTATTACCCATTTTCAACTCACCCATTTGCCATCCTACTTATAGCATGTTTGGCCAATTTTTTTTTTTGGCCAGAGTGTTTTTTCTTTTTTTACTAAAGTACTTTTTTCCTAAATTAAGGTGTTTAGCCAAGTTTTTAGAATGAAAAAAGTTCTTTTGAGTAGAAGTAGAAATAATTTTTGAGAAACGAAAAAAATAGCTTCTTCCCAAAATTACTTTTTTGAATAGTAATTTTGAGAAAAATATATTTAAAAATAATTTTTAAGTTGGCCAAACACTAATTGATGCTTTCAAGTTAATCGGTCAAACACAAACTGTTTCTCGAATATTTTTTTGAAAAATACTTTTCAAAATACATTAATTTCAGAAACTCCAAACATGTTTGTCACGACCCAAAATCCAACTAGCCGTGATGACACCTAACCTCACCTGCTAGGTAAGCCAAATAATAACAATTCGATTCAATTAATAATTAACTGACTCTAATACACTCCCCAAGGACTGGTAGTACAAATCATGAGCTTCTAAGATTAGAATTTACAAAGCTGGTATGAAATAAATACATCATCTGTTTGAAACATACATAAACAGATTTTTATAAATCTAAGGCTACCATGAACAAGAGGCAACTACAATCGAAAAGCAGGTACGTCTTCAAATCCAGCTCTCGTTGATCACAGCAACATCAACATCCAATATATGCAAGCAAGGTGCAAAGGTGTAGTATGAGTACAACCGACCCCATGTACTGAATAAGTAACAAACATTACCTTAGGTTGAAAGTATTGACGAGCTGGAACACAGGTCAGGGTCCAACACCAATAGACAACAACAGTTCATAACAACATAATGGAAGTAATAAAATAAGTAGCTCAAAGATAAAATGCTCAGCTCGTTCACAGTTCCAGAAAAATAGGCATGCTTTTCAAGTATATCAGCGAAAACCCAAATCTTTATCGAAATCACCAAAATATGAGTACGTTTTGTAAAACTGTGATTTTTCCCAAAAACTTTTCAACAACATATATGATGTTTCATTTTCAAATGGCATGAGGAAAATACATCTCAATACCTACTATGTCAATGAGTATGTGAAGTCATGAATAACGCAATATCGTACAGCATGAGGAAAATGCATCTCTATACTTGTATGTCAAGTGTGCATGTCAATGCAATGCAACTCAGTGATAAAACCATGTGCATACTCTCAGAGTATTAATTCACTCAGTCCTCCCAGTCACTTAGTCCTTCCAGTCACTCGGTCCTCACAGTTACTCAATCCCCCTAATCGCTCGACACCCACACTAAATAGATACATGCGCTCACTGGGGGTGTGTACAGACTCCGGAGGGGCTCCTTCAGCCCAGACGCTATAATAAGCCAACCATGGCGTGAATCAATAATATTTGTTGCGGCGTGCATCCCGCTCCCATCATAAATCAATAAAAACATGTTGCGACATGCAGCCCGATCCCATAAACATCCTCACCATCAGGCCCTCAGCCTCACTCAGTCATCAATCTCTCCAGTCTCTCGGACTCTCAGTGTCATGAAAAGAATTAATCCCAAAATAATAATGTGATGTATCAATAAATGATAACAGATATTGAGATGTGATATGCATATGAATGCGTATGACTGAGTATATAAATGCAATATAAGCTGATAACTTAACAACATAAATGACCTCGGTGGGTCTCAACAGAATAAGCATGTAGTCTAGACATGATCTTTAATACGAGCCTCAACTCAATTTCTCTAACACGTGGAGGATATGCGGAAAATAACATGATTCTTTAATTTTACAACTCCACATAATTTATTTAAATCATAATTTCTATGGTGCACACCCACACGCCCGTCACCTAGCATGTGCGTCACCTTTATACAATTCACATAACACGAAATTCGGGGATTTATCCCCTCAACTCCAAGTTTAGAGATGTTACTTACATCGAACAAGTCAAATCCAATACCAAGAAAGCTGTAAAATACTCCGAAAATTCCATTCCGCGTGTATCAACCTCCATACGCCTTCCTATCTCCTCAATTAAAGCCAAATAATTCGTATATATTCAAACAACGTGCAAACTAATCACAATTTATTCTAATACTTACAATTTAACAATTTATAAAAATTCTCAACTCCGCTCGAAAAGTCGACAGCGGGGACCACATCTCGGAATACGATGAAACTCATAAAATCCAATAACACATTCAATTACAAGTCCAACCATACTAATTTTACTCAAATCCGACTCCGAATCGATGTTCAAATGTCGAAAATTCATTTTATGGAATTGTAGAAATTTCCTCCGATTTTTCTTGAAATATCAATAAACTAACGCCAAAAATAAGGATTAATTCATGGAATATAATCACAAGGGAGTCACGAATACTTACCCCCAATTGTGTGGTGAAACTTACCTCTGAAAATCGCCAAAACCGAGCTCCCAACTCTGTTTATGTCAAAAATAGAGAAATCCTCCATTTATAGGAATTTAATGCTTGGAGCGCCACCGGTGGCATGGGGCGCTGCCTGGGGCACTGTTTCTAGAATTCAAAAACATCCCAGTGCCAGGGCTAGTGCCCCACACTACCCTGAGCGCTGGTGACGGGATTTTTCTTTCCAGACACGAAAATGGGCATAACTCTGTCATACGATATCTGAATTTGACGATGTTTTTTGCTATGGCTCCGTAATTTCAATACAAATCTAATGCTTTAATTAAAACTGAATTTGGATCTCATTTGCTTAATGTGATACCATGTATTCTTCAAGAATCGACGTCGGAACATTCTAGAAATATCCAAATTAAATTTTGTTAACCATCTGAAATCCACCCGAGGCCCTTGGGACCTCAACCAATTATACCAATAAATCCTAAAACATCATAAAATATTATTCGATGCCTCAAATCACATCAAACAATACTAAAAACACGAATCACACCCAATTGAAGCTTAATAAAAACTAACAATTCCAACTTCTACATTCGATGTCGAAACCTATCAAATCAAGTCTGATTGACCTCAAATTTTGCACACAAGTCATAAATGATATAACATGCATATTCTCATTTGAAAAATTAGATTCAGACCCCAATATCAAAAAGTCCCCCCCCCCCCCAA